GAAAGGTCTGGTGGGGGAGAGCTGCTCCCAGCTCCCAGGTGGAGAGCAGGGAGAAGAGAGCATCCACTGCTTCCCTAGGCCACACCCACCCGCCCCTTCCCTAGGCCACGCCCACCCACCCTTCCCTAGGCCACGCCCACAGCCCCTTCCCTAGGCCACACCCACCCGCCCCTTCCCTAGGCCACACCCACTCACCTCTTCCCTAGGCCACGCCCACAGCCCCTTCCCTGGGCCACACCCACTTACCTCTTCCCTAGGCCACGCCCACAGCCCCTTCCCTAGGCCACACCCACTCACCTCTTCCCTAGGCCATGCCTACAACCCCTCCCTAGGCCACGCCCACCCACCCTTCCCTAGGCCACGCCCACTCCACCTTTTCCCCCAGGATCTGCCTCCTGACTGTACAGTTGGCTGCAAGTGTGGATCAAGGTGAATCCAGCGCTCCTGAAACCCAGTTACCTTCCCACAGTCCCTCCCCTGGCACCCAGGTTTTGGAGGCCTGTTGGGGCTCTAACCTCTCACAGTGATGGTGGGGGTGATAACAGTGAAGGTGATTTAAGCCTAGAAATGCCTCCTTCCGTGTCTTTGTAATTGATGAAAGCGTAACTGGGCTACATCTGTATGGTGTGAAGAAAATAAACAGATGCCCATTTATCACGATCTCATTATGATCAGGTTATCTAATTGTCCTTGAAGAAAGTGCTCGTTTAGGAAATGAATGCCAACTCTCTTAGATTCCATAACAGTTTTATGCCTGCAAGGTAATAGTCTTTAGCTTGTTGCATAAGGTGTTCGGATTTGTGTGTGTGTGCGTGTGTGTGTGCTAAGCACATTTATGCAGGTAGGAAAACAATTTAATCTGTTAATTACTACTACTATTATTATTGTATTTGGTACAAGGTCTCACCACACAGCTCCAACTCATGGTGATCCTCCTGTTTTCAGCCTCCCCAGCACTGGGATTACAGGTGTGTGCCACCATGCCCAGACTCAATGCCTGCTCAGTGGCCCGGGGATGGGGCCAGCACAGCATGAGGCTCCAGGGACCAAAGCCTGGTTCTTGCGTTTCCTTAAGCAGGTGCTTAGTCTGCTGAGCTATCTCACTGGCCCTTAACCTGTTAATTTAAAACAGTGAGTGCTGAGGCAGGAGGATGTTAGCTGTGAAAGCCAAATGTCACACCTCTGAGGCACTCCACAAGAACCTTGTCCAGGCAAGTCTGGGCATGGTGGTGCACACCTGTAATCCCACTGCTGGGAGGCTGCAAACTGGGGGATCGTTATGAGTGGGAGGCTGCTGCGCCTCAGGGATCCTCAGGGACACACATGGGAAAGGCAAACCAGTCAAGGTAGCTCTCCCACACGCTAGCAGTTCTCAGGTCTTTAGTTAGTTGCTTCTGGTTATTGTTGTTTAGTGATCCTTCCAGTTTTTTTTTTTTTTTTCTTTTTGAGATAAAATCTCACTACATACTCCAGGCTGGCCTCAAAACCACCATGGCTACCAGTCTGGTCTCAAACTTTCTGTGATCCTCCTGCTTCAGCCTCCCGAGTGCAGAGATTATAGGCATGCACCACAATACTCTGCTGTTTTTTCTACTTTTAAGACCAGTGTGTTCTCAGGTCAGTTTACCTTCTGTGTGGAGCTGTGCCTCAGGATGTGACCCCTGGCCACTGTCCTGCTGGGTGAGGGCAGAGTAGTTGGGGTGGAGGGTGGAGGGTCTGCCAGGGTAGGGTAGCAGCCATGGCCATAGCTCTTGCCCTGAAGGCAGCTTGGCCGCCTTGGGCCTCCCAGCCCCTGCTCCGCACACATCCTCTGCCCCGTGGCTCAGCTGCGCATCCTGGTTTTCTCTCTTCTGCTCTGGACTTTGAAAACACACATGGTGTAGGGCATGTTTGCTGCGTACACTGAGCATCTGTCCTCACGGAGTCATGGCCCCGGCTGTTTCCAAGGACCCAGCTCAGGAATGCTGGCCTTCAGATGCTCAGGCCAGACCTCCAGGATGGTGATTTTGTCATCTGCAAGCATCACAGTCACATGGTCTGCCACTCTCAGCATGCTGGCATTTGGGTGGGGTCCTTCCCTGGGTGGAGGCCTGTCCTGAGCATGGGAAGATGTTCAGCAGTGTCCTGGTCTCTTCTCACAAGATGCCACCAAGCAGACCCCACTCTAGGTTGACTGCCAAAGCTGTCTCCAGTGCCAGACATGGTGACACGAGGCTGTGATCCTTGCACTCCAGAGGCTGAGGCAGGAGGATCACTACCAGCTCTGCGCCAGCCTAAATTATGTAGTGAGACCAGTAGGGACTTTTAGAAAGCACGGCAGTTGGACTTATAATAATGTTCAGGATTCAAGGGGAGGAAGAAGGAGAAATCGTTCTCCCTGGTCATGAGGGTCCTGGATTGAATCTTAGGAGTGTGCAAGAGCACCGTGAGGATGTGCAGAGGCCTCATGTGGGATCGGGGCCTCAGGGTGGAGAAGGGGCGCCGCAGCAGCCACACCTGTCACTTGCTGGCCAGGCTCTAGCCGCTTGCGCTTTGTCCTGGAACATCTGCAGGTGGGGACTACTTATCATAGCACATTTCTGAAAAATGATTTGCTTGCTGGGAGTGGGAGGGGGCATGCCTAGAATCCCAACACTCAGAGGCTAAGGCAGAGGTGTTCAAGGCCAGCCTGGGCTGCATAGTGAGGCCAGCCTGAAATACATAGTGAGACCCTGTCTCAACAAAAACAAAAAAATCACAAAAAGCAAAGCACCTTACCAAATCAACAACTAATCAAGTGATGTGGGCCAGGAGTGAGTTTCTGGCTCTCTAGCCTTGGCTGAGAGTGTCCGACACAGGACATCTCCAGAAATGGCCTTGGCAGGGGACATGAGTGCTGGCACCACGCTGGGCTGGGTGCAGGTCCGATGTCTGGGTCCTCAGGACATGGACACATGCTCAGGGAGATGGCCTGGTGGCCGCAGAGTCCAAGGTCAGGCAAGGTCATGCGGCTACAGCCAGCTGTGAGAGGTGGGCACAGCCCAGGGCCTGCAGGAGGAGGGGGAGGGACATTTGAGTCCTTGTTTCTGACCCAGAACCAGGGAGGATACACACGTGTGCTTCAAACCGCTGTCTAGGGAACTCCACGATGGCAGCATTACGAGACCAGCGCAGGTGACGGCGGATTTGCCCGGCCCTTGCTGTGTCTTCTTCCACTGTTGGTACGCACTGAGACAGCCTGGTTGGACAAAGGGCCAGGACCCTTGCTGCCGCCCCATGTGAGCACGGGACGGGACGCACAGGGACAGAGAGCAGGGGCCATGCTGGAGGCTGAGGAAAGGCCCAGGCAGTCCACAGCTGCAGATTCGGGTGACAGCCACACCCACGCCTGGCCCTCCCTGACACCCTCTGGCCTTCTGGTTTGGACTCGGGTTTGCTGCCAGGCCTCCAGGTTTGTAGCTGCTGCCATTTCTTGTCTTCCTCCCAGCGGCTGCAGGAGGCCTGCTCTCTGGCACACAGAGGGCCGCTCCCTGCCCCCGCTGACTGCTAATAATCCGCTCTGCATCTGCTCCCGAAGGGTCCACAGAGCGCTGGGCCAGCTGCTGGGCCACACGATACGTTTCCATCAACGTATTAAGCCTTTGTGTTTTCAGACAATTGCAGTAGCTGACTGTGCTCCAGTTGCCAGGTGTCCAACAGCTCAACTTTGTGTCTGGGAAAGGATTTTTGTAAATATCCATCACACACACATATTTGTTTTTCTACTGAAACCATCTGGCAGTCGTATTAAAATGTAGATGGGAACCTCTGGAATGGAAGAAAACAAAGCCCGAGAACGGACACACGAGCTTTATTAGAAGCACTATTGTTCTTGAAGTCAACGCTTGAGAAGCTCTCTGACCCCGCGCATTCTGCTACCCAGAGCCCAGGACCCTGCCCGATCCCCCTGAAAGGACACGGACCCATGCCACAGGGGTGAGCTGGCCCCGTGCTGTGGCACGGCAGGGACCAAGACAGCTCTGGTTCCTGTGGCGGAGGGGAGCTGGTTATGCCCGGGCCGGTCCTTTCCCACATCTGTTCCCGTGGCTCTTTCCCCTACAGGCTGCTGGACAAGTGCAGGGCCCCAGGTCACTTCACACTAGGCCTGGCTATCAGGAAGTGCGAGATTGACAGCTCAGGGCTCCTGTGACCCAGCTCCCTGACAACTGTTTAAACGCCGCCCATAAAACTCCAAATGTTCTGTGGGGGGCAGGGCTTTGAGCAGGGTGCAGCATGCTGGCAGTGCCACTGTGACCCCCCGGAACCTGCTGCTGGCCCAGGGACAGTCAGCCGTGCAGGCCCTGAGCAGCACTCTGAGGCTCCTGCTGACTGAAGGCAGCCGTGGGCTTTTCACCTGAGCCACGTGTGCTACAGCGAGAGAGCCCGCTGTTGCTGCCATAGCCCATGGAGGTGAGGCACGCAGGAGCCACCCAGGGGGATGGCTGGGGCACACACACACCAGGAGGACTCGGCAGCGACCACAAGAAGGGCCTTCGACTGCAGGTGCACTGTGGAGTTGAACTCTGATTCCACTCTCACCCAAGGGTTCCAGAATCAGTGTCTCTTCCTCTCCCTCACGGGAGATGGTCACTTCCAGGGCCCAAAAGAGCCCTAGGAAGGTGTCGAGGGACACATGGGCTGGCCTGGCTGGCCCCATGGGGCTGGAGCTGGTCACAGGCGGGAAGGTCTCTACATTCCGCGTCCAGCCTATGACTCCTGATTGACTTCAAAGGCAACCCCTTCCTCCAACTCATTGTGAGCACTTGGTCCCCCTGTGCCGCCATCCCTTGTCACATGGGGGACATTCAGCCTCTGTGGCCTGCCTGGAGGCCCCCCGGTGGCTGTATCTGAGTCCTGGCATCTCTGCCCCCTTATTTCTCACTCTCCCGCAAGCATGCAGCGGCAGTACCTCCCTCAGCGTCCCATCTTCTCAGTGAGAGCCCTGGGGCTTGGGGACCGCAGGTGATTGCTGAGACAGAATCCACGCTACCTTGTGAAAGGCTATTTTTTAATTAGGGCTTGGCGGTTGCTAATGGCACTTCTGGGAGGTACAGTGACCCTTCAGTGGTGCCCCACAAAGTTGGGGGCTTGAGCTGTTTCTTGTTTGAAACAGCAAATACAAGACAGAGGCAGGAGGCTCTGCTTGGCCTTAGACCTCGAAGAGAGCTGTTTTCCGAAGATGATGCTGGCTGTCATGCAGTGTGAATGGAGGTGGCCAGGCGCTGCCGTGGAGAGCCGGCACCCAGTGACACCAGGTCACTTGCGAGGCTGCTGAATGTTCTGGGGCCGCGGGGAAGGGTGCTTGTCTATGGAGGCATGGGGCTTCTGGTGAGCCACCTGTGCAGCTGCTGGGGGGAAGTCCTTGTCACCCTGTGAGGAGACAAAACACACAGGTAGGTCCCCTGTGAGTGAATCTGTCAGTGTGCACAGCAGCCCTAGACTGTAGGCAGGTGACAGGCTGCAGTCCCCTGGCAGCGAGAAGCCACCCCTGTGGCTGGGGGTTTCCAAGGCCATCAGAGCAAGGAGCTATCAGTGGCTGAGCCCGTATGCCACAGGATGGGTGATGCTCAAGCCTCCGCCCATGGGATGAGTCTGGGGCTCCACATGACTGGTTTGGCGTGGAGCTGGGGGCCGGAGGCTGTGCCGTACTAGGGCAGCTTTTCTCATCCTTTGAACTGGGGCAGGCGGGACCTAATGCAGAGTGTCAAATATGGATGCATTAGCCCTCCAGAGTGCTGGCAGGTAGAGGCTCCGGTGGAGCTCAGTCAGGTGAGCAAGGCAGCCTGCCTGGTTCCAGGGAAGGTGCCTGGCTGTGCTTGTTGGGACTGGCTCATTTCTTATGGCCACAGTGGGGGTGACCAGGGCTGGGGCAGGCTGCAGCCTGGTGTGCACAATGGAGCTGACTGAGCCACACCTAACGATGTCACATGTGGCTGCAACCACACCTGTCCCAGGCTCTCAGTGTGGCAGTGGTCACAGCTCCTTCAGCAGAGCTGTTCCTAGCAATGACATTTTCAGACACCATGTAAGGACTTGCAAGTGCTAAGGGACAGAGCCCGGATGGTGTCACAGTAGGAAGGGGGCTGTTAGGGGAGGGCAGGCTTTCCCACAAGAGTCTTGTGGATGACAGTGATGGGGACAAAACATCAGCTTAGCTCAGGGACTGAAAAGGAAAGGAGCCACAGGGGAGGCATCAGCAAGGGCTGTGCAGAACCCCAGCTTCGTTCACGGGTGCCTCATTCATAGCGAAGCCTTGTGTGTCCTGACATACCACTCTCAGGCTGACTTTCTCAATCATTTAAAAATGTGGAATTATACGGTGGACTAAGTGCCTGCTTAGCCAAGTGCAAGGACCAGGGCTTCACACCTGGCACCACATGCTGCACTGGCCTTGCCCCCAGGAGTGATGAGCCAGCCACAAACATGGGGCATGGTGGCGCACGCCTGTACCCCTAATGCCCGGAGGCTGAAAATTGGAGAATTACTAAGAGTCTAAGCTCCATAGTGAGATCGTGTACAAAACATTTAAAAAAAAGGCGGGGGGGGGGGATCCTTTCTGCTCAGGTCATGTAGACCCAGGCCCCGATGTAGCCCGCCAGGGCGGGTGGAGCCCACCTGTTATCTACTGCTGGGCTCGCCTGGCTGCAGGCTTGTGCTTCCTAACTACAGAGGCTGGGACAAGGGCCCTGTGCCCTGGGTGCGAAGAGGTGACAGCTCTTACCCGGGCGATGACACCGGAGATGAACACAGTTGGCTTGGGGGGGCTGGAAGACAAGAAGGAGAGGCAGGTTGAACGGAGCTGTCCCTGAAGGGGCCAGGGAGGCAACGACTGCGGCAGTGGGCGAGGTGGGGTTTGGAGTGTGTGGCCATCAAAGGTGGGTTTGCTAGCTCCAAGGAGGAGAATGGAGGAACTGGGGGCAGCTCTCTTCCTCTGCGTTAACTTTTTCACAGCCACTAGGCTTGTGGGCCCAGGAGCCCCTTCTCCTGAGGTTTTTCTGGGCAGAGCAGCAAACAGCAAGCAAACTGCCTAAAAGCACTTTCTCTTTGCTTCTCGGTGAACCCCCAAACTTCCATGCTGCACAAGCCTAGCCATGTTGGTTTAGTGACAGAACCAAGTGGAAACAGGTGCTTCCCTGAGGCCAGGAGAAGGCTGCTCCACGCTGGGTGGGATGCGCTTCCTGCCTTCTGCACCAAGGTTTCCCCTCCCATGGTCCTGAGCTCCCGGTGTCCTGCAGCTTCTATGCTGGGAGACCCCAGAGCCAGCACAGACTCCCCGCTGGCCCCTGTGGTCCAGGTATTATACTTGTAAAGTCCTTGGGAAGCTGATGTACTTCAGCACCTTATTTACACGGAGGGCCCCAGAGCATGATGGAATTGAGCAGGTAGAAGAGGGTTCAGCAGAGAGATGGCCAGCGCACGCTGACGTCACGGGTGCGACTCTGCCTTGTGCCAGGCACTGCTCGTGGGTCTCCCAGTCTTTCCATGGATGCTGCATGTGCTCCTCTTACACAGAGCTGCTGCTGCTCTGCGATGGGCTCTCAGAACTGGACAGTTGGGCACCCCGTGTGCTCTCGTGCCCCGCGCATGTCTGGACACAGCCCGCCCAGAGTTTAAACATCAGGCTGCAGGGGTGCAGGGCAGCAGGGCACAAATGTGAGCCCCTGAAACACCTCTGGAACAGGTGAGCAGGCCTGCCCAGGAGGTGGATGCCAGCTCCCAGCCCAGCCGGTGGGCCTAGGGGCACGGCACCTCCCAGCCCGCTGCCCACTGCTCTTGCTCTGCTCTGCTTGAGAACTGGACAAGCGCTTATCTTAGCTTGGTCCTGCTGCAGGCAAATGCCCCATAGGCAGAAAGTTCATTGGTTGCTCACATCCCCAGAACACTCGAAATCCTTGTGAATGACACCCTCCCCCAAGTCGGGCTCACAGAGGCCACGGTCGGATTCTGGGGACCTACCGGAGGCACCAGGGAAGATACTCTTCTGGCCACCCTGATCCTATGGGCCACCAGCCTGTGGGGAGTGGTTACTGCGAGTGCTGTGGGCTCTGCTCATAGAAGAGCAGCGATCACAGAAAGCAGCTGGCTCTGAGGGACCATCAGTACAGGGGCAGATGGTGCTAGCCTGCTCAGACGCCTGCACAGTGTGGTAAATGCACCCAGTGTGGCCAGGAGGCATTGTGTGAGGGTGACAGGGGCATTATACCACAAGTGGTGGGCCACTGCTTAGTTGGGGAAGGAGAGGGGCAGTGACAGAGTCCTGCAGCAGTGCCCCTGCTGGGTGCAGACAGCCCCTTGCAAAGGAACCTGGGAATGGTAAATATTAGAAGCCACAGAAGTAAATATTAAAATTTTATATTGAATTAGCATTAAATATTTAAATGATAAGTAAACACAAAAAAAAGATGAAGCGAAAGTCCAAATATGGTCTTTTCAAACCATTTGGGTCCATGTTTTAAAACGACCACCTTACACACCAGTGCGCATCCACCCTGCACACCCAGCCGGTGCTGAGCCCCACAGCCCCTCAGGGGTCCACGTTCCATGCTGCTCCATGATCCGGCCACAGAAGCCCAGGGTGTGGCGGTGGCCACGTCCACCCTGTGACCATATGAGTGGCTGCCACGGCCTTGAGTTTGGGAGCCTGGGGCGAAGAACTCAGGTCACAAGGTCGTGACTCTGCCTTATGCACACCCTGGAGGGCCAGCTCAAGCCCAGGAGTGGGGACGGTGCTTGCAGCATGACGCCCAGCTCGGGCACCACGTGAACTGTGCACATCCCCCATCCACTCCCCTACATGAGGGCATCGACACTACGGCTCAGGGACTGCAGCCTGTGTTACCGATCGTGGACGGCTCTGCTTGGCGCTGGAAGAAGTGAGGCACGGAAGGAGCGGGTGTGGCAGGGCTGCAGGGAGGGCTTTGGTTTAGGACAGTCGGTAAAGCAAAACCAAACAACTGCTGCATGCATGTGCGAAGCCTTCTAGCCAGAAGGAAGGGCACCGGCTGACGCTGGCGGAGGAATGCTGCTTGCAGGCAGCTCCAGGAAACTCCTGGCAGTCCTGCACCTTCGAAGTTTGCTGAGGAACTCAGCAAGCTCAGAGGGCAACTCCACAAAAACGTACCGCCTGACCATTTTTAGCACACGCCAGGGGTGTGAACAACGTCCATGACACTCTCCATTTCCAGGGCTCTCACCGACAGCCACCTCTGCTTCTGTGAAGGTCGTGACCCCTACTGCAAGCTCTGCGCTGCTGGGGCCTGTGAGCGGGACTCGCTGGTGGGACAGGCAGCATCTGCGCGGTGGCTGGTCTCCTCTGTTTAGTAGTGTCTTCCAGGTCACTCTGCGTTGGAGCATCTATCAGCATTTCAGTCCCTTCAGAGGCCACTTGATGGTCCACAGCATGCGTGCACGCGCACACACACACACACACACACACACACACTCACACACATGCATGCATACACCCACCACATCTGACTCATTGACAGAAACATGGGTGTTTCCACCCGCTGGGTACTGTGAATGAGGGAGCAGTAAACACGCTGCACACATGTTGCTTTAAGTTCCTTTGTGTCTACACAAAGGGGAACTGCTGGATCCTATCGCAATTTGCTGCTTAGGTTTTTATTATTATTATTATTATTATTATTATTATTATTATTATTTGTTTTTAATTTTAATAGAGCTGGGAACTGAACCCATGCCTCACTCAGGGTCCCTGCCACTGAGCTGCGTTTGCAGCCTGCCTCCCCTTCAGGCTTAGGGTTGAACCCAAGGTCTTTCTACTGTGCTACTTTCCTAAGCCCCACTCCCTTGTTCTTTGAGACAGGGGTTTGCTAAGTCACTCCGCCATTCAGGCTGGACTGGAGCTTGTGACCCTCATGCCTCAGCTTCCTAGGGACAGGATTACAGGCATGCACCACCATATGTGGCTTATGGCTAACTTTCTGAGGAGCCACCAAACTGTTTTGCAGTGGTTAAACCATTTTACACTCTGACCAGAAATGTACAAGCTCGCTGGTTTCTCCACTCTGAAAACACTTGTTTTCTGTTTTGTGAAAAGAACATCCTACTGGATGAGAAGGGGGATTTCATTGTAATTTAGATTTAGCAACTAATGCCAAGAGTCAGCTTCCTCATATGAGGAGTGATACACACCCTTCTGTCTTGATCATGCGCCCAAGGCCTTCCCGGGTGTGGACATCCCTCTGCCCTAGTTCCTGTCGTCTCTTCTCAATGCACAAATGTCACCCTTGCTGTGAGGACACCTGGTTATGCCTATGAACGTGTGCAAGCCACCTGCCTGTGACAGCCTGCAGCGAGGTCGGCGCTGGGGCCCCTGTGCTGGCCGCGCTCTGGCCTGAGATTTCTATTCAGTTCAGCAACCTACAGCTAACAGCACCCGAAGCTGGCGGCTGCAGCGGACTACATTTCTACAGCAGAGGAAGCTGGAACCCACTGATAGAGAGCCGCTTGAGTGAAGTCCGCAAACGCAGAGCCTCGTAGGCAGAGGGTGCAGTGTGTGTCCCAGCAGAGCCGCGTGTGCAGCCCTGGCCAGGTCCACGTGGAACGTAACCTACATTTCCACGGTTCTGCAGACCGTGAAAGCAGCTTGGAGGATTTATGCAATCTGACAAAAAAACATCCCGACAGATGCTGCGGTGGTTTTTTTTTTTTTTTTTTTTTTGATGTATTTGGTACAGGGTCTCACTGCGCAGCTCAGACTCATAGTGATCCTCCTGTTTTCAGCCTCCCCAGTGCTGGGATTACAGGTGTGCACCACCACACCGGGACCCAGTTGCCACAGATGCTATTTTCATGATGGGCCATCATTTTCTCTCAGGAAGCAGAGAGGATGAAGACTATCATCCCTGCATCCCCCAATTCTTAGGGCTCCCCAGTCTTCAGAAGACATTGAATTTGCAAGGAATCTCTGGCCGGTGGAGGAGTCTGGGTGAATCTGGGAACGAGCCTTCCCACCAGCCGGACTACAGCGGCTGAGTGTGCTCTGTGCCCTGGTAAGGACAAGGCAGACCTGCCTTAACAGAAGTCCCCACACTGATGCTGTATGTCATCCTGCCCAGTCGCCTTATGCCCTGGGCAGGACCAAGTCCTAGAAATGCTGAGGGAGCAAGTGACCCTAAGGAAGGCAGGTGTTGCCAAGACCAAGTCTGAGGTCTTCTTCACTCAGTGTCCCATGTCTGGACTTCACAATCTTTAACACCAGGACTCCAGGCCAGTGGGCACTGAAATGCTTCAGTGAACTCAGGTCTATATCCCAGCACTACTACCGCAAGCTGTCCCCAACCTAAAGATGACTGCAGTGACGTGGCATCCTGTCTGTGTGTTCTAGGACTTTGCCACTTTGCGTGTCAACAGAGGCCTTGGCTGCCCTGACCTCTGTCCCAACTCCCATGTGCGACGCAGCTGCAGGAAGCCTCCTCGGGCAGCCAGATGTCTCCCACGTCCTGGCCTCCTGAGTCTACCACTGCTTTCGGGTCAGCCCCTGCATGTGTGACACAGGCTGTGTGGGCCTGGGGATGCCTTCTCCGAGGCTCCAATTCCTGCTCTTTGGGCCCTGTCCCAGCTGCACTGCAGTGCATTTCAGCTGCCAGCTCTTTGCAGCTACCCAGCAGGCACCTCCCCATCCCACCACCCAGCGCTCTCAGGGATGCAGACAGCAGCTCAGCCCACGAAGGGCCCTGGGGCACTGACGGCAGCTCACTCTCACGTGGCTTCCACCGCCAGGCAGCTGGGCCAGAGC